AATCAGGAAATTGTGCTCTCAATTTTATTATTTGTGCAAGTAACCTTGCAAATGCAACATTGCGTGCAAACAATAGGCAAACATGTGACCATCTTGTTGAAGCATCTATCAACACTATAAAATATTGAAATGGTCCAGATGGCGGATTTATAAGTCCACAAATATCTCCTTGAATTCATTCCAACAATGGAGGAGATTCATTTTCTATTTTAGTTGTAGAAGGCCTGATAATCAATTTACCAAGGGAGCAAGCAACACACGAAAAATCACTTGATAATAGGACTCTCAAGTTCTTCAATGGGTGTCCATGTGAACTCCCTATAATTCTTCGCATCATAATAGCACTTGGATGACCAAGTCGATTATGCTAAAGGATAAATGCATCTGGGTTGACTATTTTCTTATTAGTCACAACATTGGATTCTATTGGATGTATATATGTATAATACAATCCAGAGCAGAATGTTAACATTTTCTCCAATATTTTCTTTTTTCCAAATGCAAAAGTTATGACATGGAGGAATTCTATTCCATTCTCATCCATGGTTTCAATATGGAAGCCATTACAACGTATATCTTTAAAACTTAGTAGATTTCGATTTGATCTACTAGAATATAGAGCATCATGTATTAGTAATTTTGTTCCTCTAGGCAATAAAATGTAAGCTTTTCCAGAGCCTTCAATCAACTTTGCCATACCAGATATTGTATGAACATTGGCCTCGACTAACTTTAATTGAGAAAAATAATTCTTATTTCTCAAGATGGTATGTGTTGTGCCACTCTCAACAAGCCATAGGTCTCCATCTTTGATCTTAGCATCATCCAAGTCCATTTAGTCTTAAATAAAGACAAATGAAACAGAAGAGACAAATAATAAATATATATTCTGAAATGATTATTCTTTTATTGCATATAAAAAGAACATTACATATAGGAAAAGGGAAATGGCCATAAAAGGCAAATTATTTAAGAGGACATAATAAGTCAAACTCTTGGTTGGGTATCACCAACACCATTAAGCTGTTCAACAGCCTCGAAAAAATCAGCAACATCAAGGTGTGTATCAAGATCCACATTATTTTGCCCAATGAAATTCATTTCTAGATCTTTTCCTTTTCCCTTTTCATTAAGTGAGGCTTGGTAAAGATCAACCAAATGCCTAGCAGTGCGACAAGCACGCTCCCAATGTCCTTTTGCTCCACATCGATAACAAAAACTTTCAAAAACTTTCGTAGGGTTCTTTTGTAAATTTCTACCCCTTACGTTCTTTGGTTCAACAGATTCATATTTGGGGTTGAAACCTCTACGATGCCAAGTATTATTTCGACCACGGGCATACCCTCGGCCATGGTTATTGCCATGATTACGACCATGATGACGGCCTCAACCACGCCCATAATTATTATATGAGGTTGCATTTGCCTCAGGTAATGAGGCTGAACCAATAGGCCGTGACTAATGATTTTTCATCAAAAGTTCATTATTTTGTTCAGCAACAAGAAGACATGATATCAAATCTGAATATTTTTTAAAGCCACGTTCTCGATATTGTTGCTGAAGAAGCAAATTCGAGGCATGAAAAGTGGAGAATGTTTTCTCCAACATACCTTTATCAGTAATTTTTTCACCACATAATTTTAATTGAGATGAAATGCGGAATACTGCGGAGTTATACTCACTCACAGATTTAAAATCTTGCAATCGTAGATGTATCCATTCATAACGAGTTTTTGGTAGTATCACTGATTTTTGGTGATCATATCTTTCTTTCAAATTTTGCCATAATTCAAATGGATCTTTGATTGTCAAATATTCAGCCTTCAATCCCTCATGGAGATGATGGCGAAGGAATATCAACGCTTTAGCGCGATCTTGTAAGGAGGTTTGATTTCCCTCAACAATTGTTTCACCAAGATTATTTGCAGCCAAATGGATTTCAGCATCAAGTATCCATGGCAAATAATTTGAGCTCGTTATATCAAGGGCGGCAAATTCAAGTTTTGTCAAGTTTAACATTGTGGCTGCAAAAATTCGTTAGACTAAAATCAAATTTAAATTAGGAAAACAAATGATTACCTTAAGAGCTTGCCACAAATTGAATGGTGGAGATGATCGTACTGATAATGTATTATAAAATAAGAAGAAAAATGGCAAGAAGACAAATGAAAAGGGAGGGAGTTTCTTATTTTATCAAGTATTCTTCCATATCTCAACATACAAATTTGTAGGCCTATATATAGGCTAAGGGACATAGGGGGTTACATTTTCCATTGAATAGGACTAAATGAGAGTATGAATGGCACCTTAATGGACTCTTGAATGACACCTTAATGGCCCCTTTGAATGGCCTTTAGTGGGATCAAGAATGACCCTTTAATGGTGAGGAATGAACCCTTAATTGTGAGGAGTTGCAATATGAAAAGATGAATG